GCATTTCATTGAGCTTTTTAAAAATCAATATTCTGACTTATTTGGCATTTTGAGGATTTTTTTTGTTAGAATCTATTGCTAGAGAATTATTGTGATCCTTTGAAAGTGTCATAATACCTTGATTTTTCATGATCCTTGTATCTTTACATTGATCTCTGCATATCTGGGGTATCAGTCTTTTATTATTTTCGAATTTACTTTCATGGAGAAGGCTATTCTTGATGTGACTCTGGTGTATGTTGTGTAAGGCTGTTTGGCTGTGTGCAGTGGCAAAGATCGTATGATTTCCTTGCTTATAAATACCCTTAATATGATCTTTCTCAAATGCCAATAATCTTTCTCAAATGCCAGGTATACTAAATGGGTGAATGCGCTCATGATTTCCTGAACTGAACAGCTGGGGTGGCATGGCTTATGCAGGTAGCAGTGGTCATAAAAACATTTTGTCATTCCTGAGTGTTGTGTTCTTATGTCGGCTGTTATTGTAATGGGCTGTGCAGGTTCACCTGCATGCCAGTAGTTGGTGCCTGCAGGTTAGAGCCAGCTAAAGTGGTAGCAGAAGTGTTTATGCCCAACCTCTTTATCTGAGAAAATTGCTCAAGTGGCCCAGGTGGTGCATTATACCATGGAACGTTCAGGGGCATGAGTCTCATGTTCTGCCTTGGTTTGGAATTGAAACTAAGTGGGACCAGGCATGGGAAGCCTACACTTATTTTCCTCAATGGTAGATTAAAGCACCAGCCCTGTTGGGGGTGGCATGATGATAGGCCTCTGGAAAAATGCATGGGTGAGGGGCAACTGCTTCTTCATCAAGGTCTCAGCGCAGAGAGGGAGGGGTGGTCCCAGTGCCACATTCTTAGCCAGTAGAAGTGAAATGTGCTCCCCCCTCACACCCCAGACCTGACATCATTCACTCTCCTGTACCAATTGTGGTAGGCAGTTTGGATATTTGGCTAGTCACTGCAATTTGCTTCTACTTTCCAACAAAGTCCCTAGTATTAGAAGTCACTGACTTGGTCAATACCATGCCTCCCAGGCAATTCTCCTCCTGCTCTGGTCCTAGAAGAGAAACTCAGTTCTGGTACCAGTAGCTGGAGTCCACACTACACTCCTATCTCTGTTCTGACTGTGGGAGCTCCTCCCGTTTCAGCCCTAGTTGTCCATGCCCCAGTGAAAATCTCTGTAATGCCAAAGACTGCCACTGCTGCAAGCTCCCTTGACCCCACAGAGCTTACTAAGAGCTAAAATCTAGACTGTCATTTTTCTTTAGGTACCCAAGTCTGGGGAAGTACATGGAACACTTTCCAGAGCAGTTCCTTGTTTTAGTCTCCCAGCCATTACCCAAGATAGAGCTAGGGATTCAGGGAGTTAAGGTGCTCTCCTGTGGCCTGGATTTCACCATTCCCCAGTGGAAAAGTGGACTGCAGAGAAGCATTCACTCATGCTCTCCCATACTGGGGATTTGTACCCAGTATTTAGCTGGTCCCAGCCAAGAGAACTTCATGCCCTCCTTCTGTTTCCCAGATTCAGAATTTTTTTTTTCATTTTTCTGCTTAACTGCTGTGTTCCTTGTTGTATAATTTTCAGAGAAGAACCGCTATTTTTGCTCGTCTAAATGGATTAGGCATGTTGGAAAAACCTCTAGTCATTAATCTTGAGGAAAATAAAATATGTGTATATTTCTTAGACTCATCTTCTATATTGTATTTAAAATAGACTTTTTGAAATACTGCTTTTAGTGCTTGTCCAATTTTTAATTATTTTTCATTTTTATTTCTTTGTATTGGCAACATTGGGATAAATATTTTCCTTGTTTCTTTTTCATTTAAATGAATTGCAAGCTAGTATAAAAATTTTACCACACATATTTGTTGTTCCAATCCGAGAGGTTTTATTTCACCCTATCATTGATTTATAGATAACACAGACAACTGCTGGGTTGTTAGAAATAAATATTCACTTTGTTGTATCATTTGCTCATTTCATTTCAGAAATTGATCCGTTATTATTTTACTCAAACATTTTATTATAAAATATTTAAACGTTCAGAAATATTGAAAGAATTAGGTTTTGAACATCCAAATATTCACAACCAACCTTCTAAGATTAACATTTTACTATAATTGATTATTTATCATATTTATGTATTTATATCACTATTAATTTATTAATACACCTTTTTATCTTTGCAAAATAATATTTAACATTAATAATGAAATATTTCAAACAGGCACAATAGTAAAGGGATTAACATAAATTCCTAAATGCATACCATCCAACTATTAAATTCTAACATTTTTATACTTGCTTTAGCTTCTCTTTAAACAAATAATTTATTACAAATGAAATTAAAACATTTTTTGTGCTATAATGTGATCCCATTTCCGTCTCCTTCTTATGTTTATCTTTCCATGTATATTATTAAGATCCTAGTACATATTTTAGTATATAAAAATAACGTTTATGTTGTTTTGAAGTTTACAGTATTTACCAAAACAGTTTCATTTTGTATATTATCCTGGGGTGTTCCGCCCAATATTTTGTCTGTGAAATTGATGCATGTTGATCGTGTTAGCCCATCACACCATTTTGCAGACCGTCACCATTTTACAACTCCGATCAGAGTGGAAAATTCCACCGGGGCCTGAGCTGTGAGAAACATCCTGTTGGAATGGTCCCAGGCCTAAACCCTGACGGCAATAAATTCATCCTGTCAGGTTCCACGTCTAACCCTGACTGCAGTAAATTCCTTCCTTTATCAACAGCCGAATACACTGCCCCCGCCCCATTTTCTCAACCATCCCCAACCTCTCCTGCCCAGGCCTAGAACTGCCCCAACCTGTAAGAAGGACTGGGGCTCCGATGCTAGCTGCAGGCCTTTCTCCCAATAAACCTGTGTTGCCCTTGAGCCGCCTCTGCTCCATTCCTTTCTCCCTTTCGTTCTAACATTTGGTGCCAAAACCTGGGATGGGGTCTGGATCCCACAACAGAGAGGTACTTCCTTGCAACCTGGGAAGGAAGAGGCAGCGGCAGCTGGCGTCGGGCTAATTCCCAAATCCTGATTGGCCTCCGGTTCCAAGCCCTGTCCATTTTCATCTTTCTATGGAGGAATCCTTTCTCTTGGCCCCATCCTCCCACCACTTTCTCCTTCCCCCTCTTTCCTCTCTGTGGCTCTGGCAAGGACCACTCCCATTGCATCTAACACCGGCCTCCAATTGTGGATGAGTTTCCTTTTCCACCCTCTGGATTCCTCTCATATTTCTACCTGTTAGCTAGAAAACCCCAGTGCCAGGTAAGAGGATTCCCCGGTCACCACTGGGTGACTCTGACCTGCCTTGTCAGGGGATACCCTCAGAATGCTCACGGTCTGACCACTCTGGTTTCTGGGGGACCGTGGAGAGCTGCGAGGAGCACCCTGGCTCTTCTCGATCCCTTCTCATGGTTGTAATTGGGATACTCACTCCCCTACTTCACATTTTTCACCCTCCCAGCCACTCACATGGGACAGGGCTCCTCGAAATCCCCTCAAGACACCCCTGTCAGATGTCTCATCTGGAACCTCTGAACACTGGGATTGGCAGACTCCATTAAAACTAAATGCCTTATTTTCCTTTGTAATGTGGCCTGACCCCGGTATAAGTTGGACAATGATGGCTGCTGGCCCAGATGGGACTTTTGACTTTCAAATTCAACATGATTTAGAAAATTTCCTCCAGCACAATGGCAAGTGGTCCGAGATGCCCTATATCCAGGCTTTTGCCAGTTCCGTCTGTCAGTCCTGTTCATCTTACCAGCTGCTGCTCTTAAACAAGAAATCTGCCAAAATGCCTCCCCTTCCAGACAAGCCCTCCTCCTCCTCCTCCGATTTTTATCCAGCTGCCGAATCCCTACCTGCCCCCCAGCCCCACTCCCACCACCATCTCCTCCTCCTTCCCCTTTGGCTCTACCACCCCCTTATTCCTATCTCTCATCTCTATCCTTTCCCCACCATAACTGATCTCATTCCCAGCCCCCTTCTGCTGCTGAAAACCAGGCACAGGCCCAGAGGCCCTCTGACATCTTCCCCTTGTGGGAAGTTATGGAGACTGAAGGCATAGTCTGAGTTCATGTTCCCTTCCCTGTAGCTGGTGTCTCTCAGATTGAAAAGAAACTTTGCTCCTTTTCCACAGATCCCACATCCTTCCGCAAGGAATTTCTGTATATCACTCAATCTTACAACCTTACCTAGCATGACATTTATGTCATCCTCTCCTCCTCCCTCACCCTGGAGAACAGGGAACATATCTGGATCAGGCCCAAGCAGACACCCTCCACTGACAAGATGCTGCCTATAACCCAATCGCAACCCTAGCTATTCCCAGAGCTGACCCCAATTGGGATTATCAGGTGGCTTCTGCAGACAGACAGAAACTAGGCCATATGATAACATGCCTCCTAACTGGCAAGAATAAAACCGCCCTTAAGGCTATCAAGTATGAAAAGATAAAGAAATCACTCAAGGCCCCTGACAAAAACCCTGCTCTTTTTTCTTCCACCTTTCAGAGGCCATGATTAAATATACCACCTTAAGCCCTGACACTGTCGAGGACAGAATCTACCTCCACTTACGCTTCATTTCCCAGTCAGCCCCCGACATCCAAAAGAAACTCCAAAGACTGGAGGATGGCCCTCAAACCTCCCAAAGAGACTTAATCACAGTAGTTTTCAAGGTCTTTAACAATAGAGAGGAAGAAATAAAACCCCAAAGTTTAAAAGAGACCAGGCTAAATACCAGATACTGGCAGCTGCCATACAACAGGATTCCCCAATGCATACAAAAATCCTCAACCTCATGACAGTCCCCATCAGGAGCCTGTTTTAAGTGTAGCCAACAGGGTCCCTGGGCAAGAGTCTGCCCCAATCTCATACTGCCCTCAAAACCTTGCCCCATCTGTGATATCAAAGGACAGTGGAAGTCAGATTGCGCTCAACAAGACTCTTCACCCTGCTTGCTCAAACAGGTCCCGCAACCCAGGTTCCAGTCTGGCAAGCATTCTAGACCTGGCTGCTGAAGACTGACGGGGTCCAGGGTCTGCTGCCCCCACCGCCTTCACCACCTCAGAACCCAGGGTAACGCTGTCAGTCTCTGGTAAGTCCATACTCTTCCTTTTAGATCTGGGAACTAGTTACTCAGTTTTATCAGAATATTCTCGACCCCTCCTCAGTTCTTCTATCTCTATTGTGAGAGTCAATGGAATCCCCTCTAGGCACAGATTGGTCCTCTATTATGCAACCTATTCAATACCCCCTTCATCCACTCCTTCCTAATTATCCCTTAGTGTCCTACCCTTATCTTGGGGTGGAACATACTGAGTAAACTCCAGGCCTCCATACAACTAGCCTCCTCCAATTCTACCCCTTTTACTTTACTCTGCTGCCCAGATGCTTCCCTCTCCTCCCCCTCATCTTCACTATCCATCTGTTACCTTCTGTCAATCCTGAAGTGTGGAACGTTTCTAAACCCACAATAGCCACACATCACATCCCAGTCAAAATAACCTACCAAGACTCCTCCATTTTCCTTCATCAGCCTCAATATCCCCTTTGCCCAGCCAGCCTCAGGGGCCTCAATCCTGTTATCTGTAAGCTTTTACAAGCTCAGATTCTCAAACCTGTTAGCTCTCCCCACAACACCCTTGTTTTGGCTGTCAAAAAAACAGACAGATTTTGCCCCTTGGTCCAGGATCTCCATGTCATTTACCAAGTGGATGTACCAACCTATCCAGTGGTCCACAACCCCTATACTCTACTCTCCCATATGCCCCCATCTACCACACACTTCTCTGTAGTGGATCTAAGGGACTTTTATTGGCATTTGAGAAAGATCATATTAAGGGTATTTATAAGCAAGGAAATCATACGATCTTTGCCACTGCACACAGCCAAACAGCCTTACACAACATACACCAGAGTCACATCAAGAATAGCCTTCTCCATGAAAGTAAATTCGAAAATAATAAAAGACTGATACCCCAGATATGCAGAGATCAATGTAAAGATACAAGGATCATGAAAAATCAAGGTATTATGACACTTTCAAAGGATCACAATAATTCTCTAGCAATAGATTCTAACAAAAAAATCCTCAAAATGCCAAATAAGTCAGAATATTGATTTTTAAAAAGCTCAATGAAATGCAAGAAAAAATCTGAAACCAATACAAAGAAATACAAAATCAATTCAGAATATAAACAATCAACTTATCAAGAATATAAATATCTTTTAGAAATCATGCCAAATTTTTCAACAATATACCAGAACAAGCAAAATAAAGAATCTCAGAACTTGAAGACATGTGTGTTGAAATAGTCCATGAAGACAAAAACTTTTAAAAAGAATAAAACACAATCAGAAAGGCCTTCAAGACTCATAGGACTAAGAGCTACCAAACTTTCAAATTGTATTCCCAAAAAGGAATAAAATTTTTTTAAATGATAGAAAACCTATTTAAAGAAATAATTGATGAAAGCTTACAGATTATGCAAAGAATTGTAGACATACACATGGGGGGGACCAACAATCTCTTGGAAAATACATTATAAAAAGGCATTCACTATAGCATACTCTCATCAGACTGTCTAAAAAAATGTGAAAAAAGAATTGTAAAATTATCAAGAGAAAAGTGTCTACTGAACCACAAGGAAACCCTGTCAGACTAAGTGAAGACATACTAGCAGAAAACTTAAAAGTCAGAACAGAATGGGATAGTATTATCAAATGCTTAAGAGAAAGCTGCAATCAACAATTTTGTATCCAGTTAGATTAAGCTTCAAAGAAGGAGAAATAATTTCCAGAGAAGCAAACGCTGAAGAAATTCATCACTACTGCACTAACTTACGAGAAATGTCCAAAGGAATCCTAAACATGGAAATTAAAAGTCAATATTCACCATCACGAAAACACCCAGAAAAACATACCTCACAGGTATTATAAAACCATCACACAAAAGATGAAGAGAAATAAATCAAATGGTGATTCAATAGAATATCACCAAAGACTAATAGAGAAAAATAAAGAATTTATAAAACAGCTGGATAATACTTTTATACATTTTTATTTTTTAACAATATGACAGTAACTAAATGTAACATATCATTATTAACCCTAAATATAAATGGATTCAATGCTCCACTTAAAAGACACAGATTAACAAAATGGATTTAGAAAATCATGATCCAACCATATCAAGCTTACAAGAAACTCAGTTTACCTGTAAAGATACATTTAGACTGAAAGTAAGGTATGAAAAAATATTATGTGCAAATAGAAAGCAGGAGTCACTATATTTATATCAGATAAAACAGTCTTTAAATCAGAAACAGTAAAAAAAGACAATCATATTACAGAAGATATGACCAAGTAATCAATTCAGTAAGAGGATATAACAATTCTAAATTTATATGCACCCAACGCCAAAGCTCCCACATTCATAAATAAATATTAGTAGACCTAAAGAAAAGATATACAGCAATTCATTAATAATGGGGGACTTCAGTGTCCCACTTAGCGCACTAGACCGATCAATGAGACAAAAAATATCAACAAGGAAACTTTGGATTTATGTTGAATTTTAGACCAAATGGACCTAACAAGCATTTATACAACATTCTACCCAACAACTGCAGAATATACATTCATTCTTCTCACTGCACATGGAACTTTCTCCAAGACAGGTCATATGTTAGGCCACAAAACAAGTCTTAACACATTTTTAAAAACTGTAATCATATCAAGTATCTCCTCAGACCACAATGGAAAAAACAGAAATACTAAGAGGAAACACTGAAAATATACAAATGCACGGGAATTAAACAACACACTCCTGAATATTTAGGTCAATAAAGTTAAGACAGAAATTTAAGAAAATCTTTGAAATGAATAAAAATGGAAATATATACCAGAACTTCTGGGATATAGCAAAGCCAGTGCTATGAAGAAAGTTTATAGCAGTAAATGCCTACATCAACAAAGTAGAGCAATCAAAAAATAACAACCTAATGTCACACCTCAAGAAACCACCAAACCAAGAACAAACCCAAAATTAGCAGAAGAAAACAAACAAACAAACAAACAAATAAATAAATAAATCAGGGCAGAACTAAATAAACTACATCAAAAACCAAACCAATACAAAGGAATCAATAAAACAAAAAACTGGTTCTTCAAAACAAAAAAGGTTAAACAAAACAAAACAAAAAGAAGTGATGAACATAACTGATAAACCACTAGCTAGATTAACTACTACAATTCATACCATACACAAAAAAATGATCATCAGATACTATTTTGAACAACAAATGCTCACAAACTTAACAACCCAAAGACAATAGATACATTTTGGGACACAACTAACCTCACAAAAACTGTAAAAGAAATAAATAGAAATCCAGAACAGACCAACAATGAAGAAGGAGATTGGAACAGTAATTTAAAAAAAAAAAAAAAAAAAAAAAAAAAACAAAGCAAAAAAATCCATACCCATACAGATTCACAACTGAATTCTACCAATCCTACAAAGAACAATTAATACCAATACTCCTGAAATTGTTCCAAAAATGTGAGGAGGAGAGAAGTTCCCTTACTTCAATCTATGAAGCCAGTATCATCCTGATATAAAAACCAAACAAGGACATAGAAAATATAAACCAGAAAAAGTACAGACCAATAACACTGATGAACACTGAAGCAAAAATCCTCAACAAAATACTAGTGAACCAAATCCAACAGCACAGCTCAGAGATACTACACAATGATCAAGTGGGTTTTATAACATAGATGAAAGGATGGTTCAATATACACACATCAATATATGTGATACATTATATAAAAATAATTGAGAATAAAAATCATATGATCATCTCAATATACTCAAAGAAAACTTTTCATAAAATTTAGCATCCCTTCATGATAAAACGCTCAATAAACTATAAAAAGAACATAACTCAAAATGACAAAGACCATATACAAGAAATGCAAAACCAACATCATAGTCAATAGAGAAAAGTTGAAAGCTTTTCCTCTAAGAACTTAAATAAGTCAAGAATGCAACTTTCACCACTCATACTAAATATAGAACTAAAAGTCCTAGCCAGAGCATTCAGGAAAGAGAAAGAAATAAAAGCCATCTAAGTTGGACAAGAGGAAGTAATATTATTGCTATTTGCAGATGTTATGCTTATATATCTATAAAATCCTAAAGATTCAAACAAAAATCTCCTAGACTTGACATATGAGTTCAATACAGATTTAGGATACAAAAGAAAGGTATAAAAATCAGTATCCTATTTATACAACAATAATCTTAGCTGAGAACCAACTCAAGAAGGAAATTCCATTCACAATATCTACAATAATACTCAGGAATATATTTAACCAAGAAGGTGAAAGAAAAACTGCAAAACACTGACAAAATAAATTATAGATAATACAAATGGAAAAACATCTCATGCTCATGAATTGGAAATAATCTTTCTCAAATGCCAGGTATACTAAATGGGTGAATGCGCTCATGATTTCCTGAACTGAACAGCTGGGGTGGCATGGCTTATGCAGGTAGCAGTGGTCATAAAAACATTTTGTCATTCCTGAGTGTTGTGTTCTTATGTCGGCTGTTATTGTAATGGGCTGTGCAGGTTCACCTGCATGCCAGTAGTTGGTGCCTGCAGGTTAGAGCCAGCTAAAGTGGTAGCAGAAGTGTTTATGCCCAACCTCTTTATCTGAGAAAATTGCTCAAGTGGCCCAGGTGGTGCATTATACCATGGAACGTTCAGGGGCATGAGTCTCATGTTCTGCCTTGGTTTGGAATTGAAACTAAGTGGGACCAGGCATGGGAAGCCTACACTTATTTTCCTCAATGGTAGATTAAAGCACCAGCCCTGTTGGGGGTGGCATGATGATAGGCCTCTGGAAAAATGCATGGGTGAGGGGCAACTGCTTCTTCATCAAGGTCTCAGCGCAGAGAGGGAGGGGTGGTCCCAGTGCCACATTCTTAGCCAGTAGAAGTGAAATGTGCTCCCCCCTCACACCCCAGACCTGACATCATTCACTCTCCTGTACCAATTGTGGTAGGCAGTTTGGATATTTGGCTAG